CTCCATGGAATCAAGCAGAGCCGCTGCCTCCCCCCCGCCGCCGCACGGACCGGAGTCGCCGGCTCTGCCCCGCTTGGACACCTCTGGAGTCAGCGTGTTCTTGGGCAGCACAACTGATCTCAGACCAGAGAGTTTCCCACATTTTGCTTTGCCCCCTCTTTCCCATGATTTTGTTTTTTGTTCTTTGTTCATTCAGAGGGAAAAGGGGAAAAGGAGGCATGTATTGATACCTATTCTCACCTGTTTACAAAAGGGAGTTGGGACAGGGGGACAGAGAGGAGGCAATTTCTCGCTCTGTTGTAGCTTTGAACTGTTCTGTTGGTATTGCTGGTTTTGCTGTTATATTTCTTGTCAGCCAACTGTTATTTTTTTCACTTATACCTCCTTGTGTTTTGTCTCCCTCTAGTGGTGGGGAATAAAAGGGGAGTGAATTCATTTTATTGGAGTTCCCGTCCCAATATGTGTCTTTAAACCAGGACAGGTTGCTCAAGGGCTCCCTGAAATTTGGCATCATCCACAAAGGACTTGAAAACACATTTTATCCCATTGTACAGAGAGATAATAAAGATGTTCTACAGTTGGGTTCAAGGACTGGTCATTGAGGGATTTCACCAGGAAGTTGCTGCCAAGAGGAATTTGTACCATGGATTTTATTTGACACTCTTCATTCAGCAACTTCCCACCCACCACATCTTCCACTGCTTCAGTCCAGCTCTCACCAGTCTGGTCATAAGGAGACCACAGGAGACCATGTCAAGGGCCTTGATGAAGTCTGGGCACACAACATCCCCTTCTTTTCCCTCCCACAGGGGTTCTGCAATCCCTACCTTGTCCTTCCCATGCCTGGCAATGGCTGCAGGAGGACTTGCCATATCCCCTTCCCTGCTGAGCCTGAGTAGTCTGGAAGTCTCCCAACCCTCCTTGCTGCCCTGTTTGCAGACTGGTTCCATGTCTGCCTTTGCCAAGGCCCCAGGAAGCTCTGGGATGGCTCTGGCCTTTCCAAGGGTTTGGGAGAGTCTCCCAGTGACACTGTCCAGCCTTCTCAATATCCCTGACACCAAAACCTTTTCCATAGCCCACACTTCCAGAGGAGTGCCCAGGACACAACACAGGTTGTCCTGGTGGTTCTGGAGAATGAGAAGGGATTTCTTCCTCGAGGCCAACCCCTCCAACTGGATTTGAGTGCAGCTGAAAGGTTTCCTCAGCATTTTGCCCCGTGCCTCCCTGCCCTGAAGGTTTCTGGCCATCAGGCTGGAGCTGAGGGGGTTGGGCAGGTGCCTGAGGAGGGGGTAGAACAAGGGCTGTGTCCAACTGTGCCAGGAGGGCTGTGCTGGGCAAGGATGAGGAGGCTGCAGAAAACAGTGGCACTGGGGAGGGGAGAGGAGCAGCTGGAGAGACCTTGTGCCTGCCCACGCTGGGCAGGAGCTGCCCCAGGATGGCAGCTCTGAAGCACTCACAGGATGTCCCTGGGAACAGGAGGGGAAGACTGGATCTGAAAATGGAACCTGGAAAGCAGAGAGTCATGCTGACACTGTAGGAGAGTTGCAGCCCTGGAGCAAGGTGACAGAAGAAGTGACCAAGTCCATGCAGTGGCCTCAGAAGATCCCACAGCATCCTGGAGATGCTGGAAGGGAGCCCAGCTCTGCTTCACAAGTTCCCAGGGCCTGTCCCTGCCTGTGCTCCAAGGGCTTCCACCCCCCAGGACTGTGCTCAGAGAGCACTCAGGCCTTACAGTGAGAAAGGGGCTCAGGAAGACAGTGTGGAAGTGGCAAGAGAGCAGCTCTGCAAAGACCAAGCACTGCTGCTCCCTGGCAGTGCTGCTGGGCTGGGATTATTGTCCCCTTCCCGTTTGCAAATACCCCCTGTCCTGCAGTGTGCTGTCCTTTAGGAACATCTGAGAAGAAGGGTCTTGGACAAAGAAGGCACTGCAGGGTCCTTTATTTTGTTTAAATATACAGATTGCACACTTCATCATTTATAAATCTCTGGGTCACATTCAGTGGGTGGACACTAAATTAGAAGGCAGATGCATAACAACATTTAATTGCACGGAAAATTATTGCAAGAACAATCCAATGACCTCTGAGAAAAACCTGAGCAGGAAGGCTGGGCCATTAGTGAGTCCCATTCTATATTCTATGAACCAGAAAACAAACACTTTATTGATCCTGAAAGGCATCGAGTCATCATTTTTCTCAGGGCATCCTTGAGCTCTTGATTCCTGAGGCTGTAGATGAGGGGGTTCAGTGCTGGGGGAACCACCGAGTACAGAACTGACACCACCAGGTCCAGGGATGGGGAGGAGATGGAGGGGGGCTTCAGGTAGCCAAATGCAGCAGCGCTGAGGAACAGGGAGACCACAGCCAGGTGAGGGAGGCACGTGGAAAAGGCTTTGTGCCGTCCCTGCTGAGAGGGGATCCTCAGCACAGCCCTGAAGATCTGCACATAGGAGAAAACAATGAAAATGAAACAACCAAAACAAAAACAAGCACTAACCCCAAGAAGCCCAAGTTCCCTGATGTAGGAGTGTGAGCAGGAGAGCTTGAGGATGTGTGGGATTTCACAGAAGAACTGGCCCAGGGCATTGCCCTGGCACAGGGGCAGGGAAAATGTACTGGCTGGGTGCAGCAGAGCATTGAGAAAGCCAGTGGCCCAGGCAGCTGCTGCCATGTGGGCACAAGCTCTGCTGCCCAGGAGGGTCCCGTAGTGCAGGGGTTTGCAGATGGCAACGTAGCGGTCGTAGCACATGATGGTGAGGAGGAAATACTCTGCTGAGATGAAAAAGGCAAAGAAAAAGAGCTGTGCAGCACATCCCATGTAGGAGATGGTTGTGGTGTCCCAGAGGGAATTGTGCATGGCTTTGGGGACAGTGGTGCAGATGCAGCCCAGGTCTGTGAGGGAGAGGTTGAGCAGGAAGAAGCCCATGGGGGTGTGCAGGTGGTGGTCACAGGCTACGGCGCTGAGGATGAGGCCGTTGGCCAGGAGGGCAGCCAGGGAGATGGCCAGGAAGAGCCAGAAGTGCAGGAGCTGCAGCTCCCGCCTGTCTGAGAATGCCAGGAGGAGGAACTGGGACATGGAGCTGCTGTTGGACATTTGCTGTTCCTTAGGACAGGGTCTGTTCAGAAAAGGAAAAGACATGGAACAATTAGGAGATACCCCTCTCAGCAAAGATACTCCATCTTTCATAGTAATCCCCCCAAACTATTTGTATTTCCCTTATGCTGGCTCAGAGTGGTGTGAACAGCAAGAATTCTGCCCATGTACTGCCAAGGGCTCAGCTTTGCTCTGCTGCAGTGGCAACATGGAGCTGGTTTTGACAGCTCTGATGATCACAAGGGATGTCAGATGTAACCCACCTTTAATAGAAAAGCTCTATTTCTGACCCCCTTACTCACAAGAGTGTGGTCTGCAGAACAGAGGTTTCTATGGTCTTTAGAATAATTCTTATGTTAGATATGTTCCACCATTAAATCTGCAGAGTGTTCTTTTTAGGAGTAAAAATTCTCATTTTTATTGCTGAAAATGTAAAGAATCTTTAGAAAAGACAAGAGACAAAAGGTCTCAGCTCTCTGTGGTTTCAAGCAGAGCCAGGAGATCTGCAGAGTTCTTTAGCCTGTTTCCCATCTGCCCTGCTCTTTACCTTGTGCTTCATTCACTTTGATTTCACACAAACAAATATTAAAAACCACACCCCCAAATACATATGCAGTGATGAGAGCAGGACAATGTTGTTTCCAAGGGTAGCTCTGTGAAGTGTCCCCTGTGCCAGCCCAGAGGTGCAGCTGTGCTGGACAGAGCAGGACAGGAGCCCTCCTGCAGAGAAGCCAAGGGCTGGGACAGGAGAGTGCCCACCTCCAAGGGAAGGCTCAGCCCTGCCCAGGATCCTGTGCTCATTTCTGATCCTGCCTGAAAGATTCATCTCTGAGAGTAAAAGAGTTGGAATTTCAGTGCAGCCTCCAGAACTGAGAGAACAATGTCTCTGCTACAATGCCTAAGCAGGAAACACACCTCAGGAGTAATTCCTTTCTTGTAGCCCCTGTCTTTTGTGAACTTTGCAAAAGCTTCTCCATTCAATATGGTATAGTGGTCTGGAGCTGTGAGCAGGTCTGACCCTGCAAACACCAAGACATGGAAAAGATCCTCCCTCAGCTGCCAGGTTTGCTCCTTGCCCACAGCCCTTCTGCCCCAGCCCTGGGAGCAGTTCCCCGGGCCGGCTGAGAGCTGCCCCTGGCAGGCAGCAGAGTCCCTGCCCAGCACAGCACCCTGGGCTGCAGGACCCTGCTCTGCCCCACAGCCCTGGGCACCCCTGGCTGCACCCCCAGCTTCACAGCTCTTCCAAAGTGCCCCAAAACAGCCCCTGCTCACCCATCCCATCAGCTGGGGCTGGGCCAGCTTTAGGAGATGCCTCCAGGAGCTGCCCCTGCACTGCCCTGCAGCCACAGACTCACCATGTGCAGCCCTGCCAAGATTCCTCCTGCAGGGAGCTCTCAGCCATCCTGCCAGTGCTGAGCCCCTTGAAGCTGTGTCTGTGCCCTGCTGGTGTCCCTGAGCTGGCCTGGCAGTGCCCTCAGCCCTGCTGGGCTGTGCAGAGGAGCTGCTCACCAGCAGAGCTGTCTCTTTGAAGCTCTTCTTGCTTGCCAGGAGCTCCCTGTGTGCCAGGAGCCCAGCCCAGCTCAGCTGCACAGCAACAGCCCCAGGCATTTCATGACCCTCAGGGGGTTCGATGTTGTTTACATGAGACTCAGTCCCTGAGAGGAAGTTCAAACAACTTTTCAAGAAGTCAAAGTGAGATTGAAACACTAAAATTTCCTTTAGTGCTAATGAGTCTCACTGAGGGACACAACGGAGAACGTGTCCCCAGGTTCCAGTTAGAGCAGAAAACTGCAGACAGTGATAACAAGGATGGACAAGCAAGGGAAAGGTGGCTCTGATGCTGAACAAACCTTTACTTGTTTCCTTAATCAAATGGGACCCTCAGCCCCTGGGAAGGCAGATGCTGTCCCTGCCTCATTCCTCAGGGCTCTTCCTGGGGCACTGGGATGTGGGATGTGCAATGCCAAGGGCAGGACCATGGGGTGGCACCTGCCAGGCTGCTGAGCAGGGACAAGGAGGCCATGAGGCCCCAGGGCTGCAAGGGGCACTCCCCTCCTCCTGGCCTCAGGGGCACAGACAGCAGCCCTGGCCAAAGGCCTGCAGAAGGTGGCTGTGTCAGGGCCTTTCAGCTTCTCCCCCTCCCTGTCTCCTCTCCAGCCCAGGCTGTCCTACGGTGTCCATGCCCTGCCCCTTTCCCTGCAGGCTGTCGTCATCCCCCCGGCTGCCCCACCTGGCTGGCACCTTCCTGCACTGACATCTCTGCATCCTCCCTGGCTCTTCCTGCACACACAAAGCCTTGGGCTCATCCAGACTCCTCCTGGGTGATGTGTTGCAGCACTGTGTTTTCCATGGAATGAAATTCCTTTTTCCTCATGTCCAGTCGGGACCTCCCCAGCTGCACTTGGCATTAATTCTTTCTTTCTCATGCTCTTTTCTGCTATATCAAAAGGATCCACCATCTCTAAATCCTCCCTTCAAGCCCTCTCAGGGCTGCCCTGTGCTGTCCTCAATCTCCACACCATTGAGGCCACAGCTCCTTAGCTCCTCTCTAGTGCTCATGTGCTTGAGACCTTTAAAGCCCATCTTGAGAGATTTCTGGACACTCACTAATGTTTGTGCAGATGAAAATATTGTGCTCATAGTCTAAGTAAATCACAGTTGCCATGACAACCAGCATGCATTCCCATTGCTATGGTCAGTTACCATGGAAAATAGAATACATTCCCATTGCCACAGTCAGTTACCATGGCAACCATAATACATTCCCATTGCTACAGTCATTGACTGTGGCAAACAGCATACTTCCCACTGGTACAGTCAGTTACCATGGCAACCAGCATATATTCCCATTGCTATGGTGAGTTACCATGGAAACCATCATACAGTTGCATTGATACAGTCATTTACCATGGCAACCATCATACATTCCCACTGCTATGGTCAGTCACCATGGCAAACAGCATATATTCTCATTGCCACAGTCAGTTACCACAGCAACTACCATACATTCCCATTGCTAAGGTCAGTTACCATGGCAACCATCACACATTCCCATTGTTACAGTCAGTTACCTTGGCAACGATCATATATTCCCACTGGTATGCTTGGTTACCATGGCAACCAGCATGCATTCTCATTGCCATGGTCAGTTACCACGGTAACCATCATACATTGCCATTGGTACAGTCAGTTACCTTGGCAACCATCATACATTCCCGTTTCTACAGTCATTTACCATGAACAACATCATACATTCCCATTGCTACACACAGGTACCATGGCAACCATCACACATTCCTCTTGCTATGGTCAGTTACCACGGTAACCGTCATACAGTCCTGTTGCTATGGTCAGTTACCATGGCAACCATCATTCCTCCCACTGCTACAGTCAGTTACCATGGTAACCATCATACATTACAATTGCCACGGTCATTACCATGGCAACCATCACACATTCCCCTTTCTACGGTCAGTTACCATGACAAACATCATAAATTCCCATTGCTACACACAGGTACCATGGCAACCATCACACATTCCCATTGCTATGGTCGGTTACCATGGCAACCATAATACAGTCCACTGCTACAATCAGTTACCATGGCAACCATCATACAGCACGTTCAGTTAGCATGACAACCACCTGAATTCCAGTTTCTATGGTCAGTTACTGCGGCAACCATCATACAGTAGTGTTGTTAATGTCGGTTACCATGGCAACATCATACATTCCCATTGCTACAGTCAGTTACCATGGCAACTAGCATACATTCCCATTGCTACAGTCAGTTACCATGGCAATCATCATAGCTCCCATTACTGCAGTCAGTTACTATGGCAACCAGCATACATTCTCATTGCCACAGTCAGTTACCATAAGAACCACCATACATTCCCATTGCTACAGTAGGTTACCATGGCAACCATCATACAGTCACGTTGCTATAGTCATTTACCATGGCAACTAACATACATTCTCGTTGCTACGGTCAGTTCCCATGGAAAACATCATGCATTCCCATTGCTACAGTCAGTTACCATGGCAACCATCATACTTCCAGTTGCTACAGTCAGTATATCATGGCAACCATGACACATTTCCATTGCTATGGTCAGTTACGATGGCAATCATCATACATTCGCACTGCTACGGTCAGTTACCATGGCAACCAGCATACATTCCCATTGCTACGGTCAGTTACCATGGCAACCAGCATACATTCCCATTGCTATGCTCAGTTACCATGGCAACCAGCATACATTCCACTTGCTAGGGTCACTTACCATGGCAACCAGCATACATTCTTTATGTCACGGTTGTTACCATGGTAACTATCAAACATTTCCTATTGTTTTAGTCAGTTACCATGGCAACCATCACACATTCCCCTTGCTACAGTCAGTTACTATGGCAACCATCATACCTCCAGTTGCTACAGTCAGTTACCATGGTAACCATCAAACATTTCCGTTGCTTTGGTCTGTTACCATGGCAACCATTACACATTCCAGTTGCTAGGGTCACTTACCGCGTCAACCATCATACATTCTTTTTGCTATGGTTGGTTACCATGGCAACCAGCATACATTTCCATTGCTACGTTCAGTTACCACAGGAACCATAATACTTCCCACTGGTACAGTCGGTTACGATGGCAACCATCATACATTCCCATTGTTACACCCAGTTTCCATGGAAATCATCATACAGTCTTATTGCTATGGTCAGTTACCATGGCAAGCATCACACATTTCCCACTGCAAAGGTCAGTTACCATGGAAACCATCATACAGTCCCATTGTTATGATCAGTTACTATGGCAACCATCATACAGTCTCGTTGCTATGGTCAGTTACTCTGGCAACCATCATAGATTTTTGTTGCTATGATCGGTTACCATGGCAACCATCATACACTCCCATTGCTATGGTCAGTTACCATGGAACGAGCATACATTTTTCGTTCTACAGCCAGTTACCATGGCAACCATCACACATTTCAGTTGCTACAGTCAGTTACCATGGCAACCATCACACATTTCAGTTGCTACAGTCAGTTACCATGGCAACCTTCATACATTCTTACTGCTATGGTCGGTTGCCATGGCAACGAGCATAAATTCCCACTGCTACAGTTGGCAACCAGCATACATTCCTGTTTCACAGTCAGTTTCCATGGTAACCATCATACTTCCCACTGCTACGGTCGTTTGGCATTGTAACCAGCACACATTCCCACGTTGATGGTTGGTTACTATGACAACCATCATACATTCAAATTGCTACGGTCAGTTACCATGGCAACCATCATATTTCCCTTTGGTACAGTCGGTTACCATGGCAACCATCATACATTCTCATTGCCATGGTCAGTTACCATGGCAACCACCATAAATTCCCATTGCTACGGTCGGTTACCATGGCAAGCATCAATCATTCCCGTTGCTACAGTCACCATGGCAAACATCACACATTTCCATTGTTATGGTTTGTTACCATGGCAACCATCATAGGTTCTCATTGCTACTCTCGGTTACCACAGCAACCAGCACACATTCCCATTGCTATGGTCATTTACCACAGGAATCATCATACTTCCCACTGGTACAGTCGGTTACCATGGCAGCCATCATACATTCCCATTGTGATGGTCGGTTACCATGGCAACCAGCATACACCTTTCACTGGTGCAGTCAAATACCATGGCAACCATCATACATTGCTGTTCCCATGGTCAGTTACCATGGCAAGCAAAATACATTCCCATTGCTATGGTCAGTTACCATGGAAGGATCAATCATTCCCGTTGTTACAGTCAGTTACCATGGCAACCATCATATATTTCCATTGCTATGGGCAGTTGTCATGGTAACCAGGATACATTCCTGTTGCCACGGTCGGTTACCATGGCAACCAGTGTACATTCCTATTGCTATGGTTAGTTTCTAAGGGAACCTCTTGGTTCCTCTTGGACAGAAGCAGATGCAGATGAGCCTCCCTGTTGTCCACCAACCTGCCAGCTGTGCTCTAAAGGCCTGTGTCCCAAGGGCTGTCTTGAGCAAGACCTGCACAAACCTCTGGCACTCTTTGCATCCTGTCGTGGGGCCTTTCCAGTGAATTCCAGGGTTATCAAAGCCAACTTGAATGGGCTCTTTGTCTCACTCCACAAGGTCACCCAAACCACTCTCTCCTCTGACCCTCACCCACAAAAGTTCACCCAAGTTGTTCATCCCCTAGAGCAGCTCCACAGCTCCAAGAAGCTCTTTCCCACTGAGGACACCTCTCTCCTGCTCTTTCTCTCCTGTGTCTCCTTGGCCTTCTCTCCCAACCCATCACAGCCCTGCAACCTGGGAACTGTCTCAGCAGGCCTGGGCTGTTATTGCCTGCAAGTGGAATGAAGAGAGACTTGGGGCTGCAGCTCCTCCTGCCTGTGCCCCACACGCAGGGCATTGGGGCCTGTCTGGCTGCAGCCCCTCAGTGGGGGCACCGGGGTAAGAACAGACTTGCAGTGGGGAAAGCTGCTCTGAAAGCCCCGAGAGCTGGGGTGTGCAGAGGCTTTGCTGACAATGGCCTTGGGGGTGGACGTGCTGGGACTCAGGCCCAGGGGGAAAATCCCAGGCCTGATCCCTGAGGAGATCAGCACATGCTGCTGAAATGCTGGGGGAGAGAAGAGCCAGCAGAGGGAGGAAACAAGTGTGGACAGCCTGGGCTGATGGGATTTGGACTCGTGCCTGGCCCGGCCTTGGCTGGGCAGAGAAGGGACAGCCTTTGTGTCCCTGCAGGGCTGGGATTCACTCCCTGCCCCAAAGGCCCCCAGTGTGTCTGAGAAGCCCTGGGTGGTGCCTGTCACACAACTGCTGGGAATGGGGACGGGGTCCCTGCACAGGCCCTGTGCTGTCCATGGCAGCTGCTGCACTTGTGCTGCAGAGCCCTGGCACCTCCCCTGGCACTACAGGCCCCTCTTTGGCTGTTCAATCCAGGCTCTGCTGCCCTCAATTAGGTTCAGCAGTGAAGGGATGTCCAGGAGACAACTGCCATTGTACTCCGAGGACATGTAGAAAATACCCTGATAAACAACAGAGAGAGACCTCTTTCCCTGTGCCACCTGACTCCATTTGGTCACCTGAAGACCTCTAGGGGCTGCCCTGGACAGAAGGAACAGTGACAGGTTCCCCTGTCCTACATGTGGGCACCTTCTGCCACTGAAGTTGGCCAAAGCAATGTCCCAGCAGCCTCCAAGAAGATCCCACAGCTGCTGCCCTGTCCCTAGGAACTGCTCCATTGCAGCCTGCAGTTCCCAGCAGGAATGTCGGTCACCTCTGGCCCCTCAGAAGGAACCAGGGCTTTGTGTCCCAGCAGGTCACTCCTGGCTTTGGTCTTCATTCATTCCCATGGGAGCTGGGACAAAGAGTCACCTGCAGGGGCCTGTTTTGGGCCCACTGAAGTGGGGCAGGAGGAATCCAAGCCCATGGGGGTTGTGGAGGGAGCTGAGTGTCCTTCTGGCCCCAGGTCTGCAGAGCCACAAGGAGACACCTCTGTTGACTCAGCTGAGTCCTTCCCTCAGTGCAGGTGAAGGAGATCCCTCCTGGGCACTGTCTGGGTTTCCTGTCTAATGATGGGACATGAAAAGGGGACTCTTGGACTTAACTCTGAGTCTGTTTGGAGAAATGACAGTGCTGAAAGAAGTGTCTGTGCCCAGCTGAGAGAAGGCACATCATTATTTCCTTCAGCTGTGTGCCAGCAGGTTCCCCTGGAGCCCCAGGGACAGCTGGAGGGAGCCCAGAGGGGCAGAGAAAGGGCTGCCTGGGGCTGTTGCTGTGCTGCTGAGCTGGGCTGGGCTCCTGGCACACAGGGAGCTCCTGGCAAGCAAGAAGAGCTTGAAAGAGACAGCTCTGCTGGTGAGCAGCTCCTCTGCACAGCCCAGCAGGGCTGAGGGCACTGCCTGCAGCACCCAAGGCACAGGAGAGAAGGCAGAGAGATGAGAGGCAGCCTGGGCTGGGAGGTGACTGAGCTCTCACCACAGGAGAAACCTTCCCAGGATTTGAAGGAAGAATTCTCTGGCTGTAGGAAAGTTCAGCTTGCCTTCCTGGAGGGATCTCCTAAAGCTGCCACATCCCACAGCTTCCAGGATCTTTCAGCAGGACTCTCCCAGTTGCTGCAGTGCAGAGGAAGTGGCCACATGGCAGAGCAGGGCAGGAGCTGCAGGCAGCAAGGGCAGAGAGGAGAAGGGAGCAGGAGGTTCAAGGGATCCTGGGCTTGGAGGACAGGGCAGAGCTGCTCAGGGCAGGAACCTTGCCAGCCCTTTGCCACGGTCAGGCTGTGGCTGCAGAGCAGTGCAGGTGAGTTCCTGCAAGTGCCTCTCCCAGCTGCCAAATGGCAGCAGTGGCAGGAGCTGTCAGGATGGCTGTGCTGGATTTGCTGGGGTGCAGCAGGAGAAGCTGCTGCAGAGCAGGACTTGCTGCTGCCCCATCAGAGGCCCAGGGCCAGAAGGTTCCCTGTGCCGGGGCTGGCTGTGGGGTGGGAAGGTGGGGGTGCAGCCAGGGGTGCCCAGGGCTGTGGTGCAGAGCAGGGTCCTGCCCCCAGGGCTCTGTGTGCTGGGGCAGGGACTCTGCTGCCTGCCAGGCTCAGCTCTCAGCCTGGCCAAGGAGCTGCCACGGGGCTGGGGGAGAAGGGCTGTGGGGAAGGAACAACTCCTGGGAGGGCAGAGCAGGGCAGAGTCCTTCTGATCTCCAAAGTGGGCTGCAGGGATGAGGGCTGGTCACAGCTCCAGATCAAAGTAGGAAATTTCCCAGAAGGTATTTGCAAGAGGCAACAGACAGACAGGAGGTACCTTAAAGAGAAGGAACCAGTTCTTTCAGTGTTATACTCTGGGTTGTCTGGGTGCTGACTGCAACAGGGAAATAAATCTCTGAGCACAGGAGGAGACACTGAAACTTGAACTCTGTTAGATTAGAGGGGATTGAACCTGAGAGTATCAGACATCAAAATTGTCTTATAGACACATCAGTGTCACTTTCTCAGCCCTGTGCCCAGGGAAGCAGCTGCTGGCAGGGACAGCTCCAGGCAGCAGAGCCCTGGGCAGGGAGTGGGGGGCAAGTGCCCCCAAGGCCTGGGGGAGGGGGTGTTCAGGCAGCTCTGGGGGCCCTTCCCTGCAGTTCTGCTGGGCACTGTGTGCTGGACCATAGAAATGAGGATTTGCTGCAGTGGAAAAGAACCTTCCCCAGATGTGATGGTAAAAATAGAAAACACAGGTACAGTTATTCTAAGGACAGACTAAGCTTCTGCTCTGCAGCCCCAGCTCTTCTGAATCATGGGTGTACAGAGGGAACTTTTCTATTCAAGATGTGTTACAACTGACATTCCTTGTGTGTCTGAGAGCTCTACCAAAAAAGTTATATGTCACACCACAGCAGAGTAAAACAGACTCCTTGACAATGAATTTGGTGACATTTGACACATTGATTTCTTTTAGAAATTGAGTGGCTTTTTCACAGAGGTCTGTCTTAACTGTTCCCTGTCCTTTCCTTTTTTCGATAGGACCTATGTTAAGAAATAACAAATGTCCAACAGCAGCTCCCTCACCCAGTTCCTCCTCCTGGCATTCTCAGACAGGCGGGAGCTGCAGCTCCTGCACTTCTGGCTCTTCCTGGCCATCTCCCTGGCTGCCCTCCTGGCCAACGGCCTCATCCTCAGCGCCGTAGCCTGTGACCACCACCTGCACACCCCCATGGGCTTCTTCCTGCTCAACCTCTCCCTCACAGACCTGGGCTGCATCTGCACCACTGTCCCCAAAGCCATGCACAATTCCCTCTGGGACACCACAACCATCTCCTACACAGGATGTGCTGCACAGGTTTTTCTCCTCATATTCTTATTTGCAGCAGAGTTTTCCCTCCTCACCATCATGTGCTACGACCGCTACGTTGCCATCTGCAAACCCCTGCACTACGGGACCCTCCTGGGCAGCAGAGCTTGTGCCCACATGGCAGCAGCTGCCTGGGTTTCTCAATTCTCTGCTGCACACAGCCAATACATTTTCCCTGCCCCTGTGCCAGGGCAATGCCCTGGGCCAGTTCTTCTGTGAACTCCCACACATCCTCAAGCTCTCCCGCTCACACTCAGGCTACCTCAGGGAAATTTGGCTCATTGTGGTTAGTACCTGTTTAGTATTTGGTTGTTTCATTTTCATTGTTTTCTCCTATGTGCAGATCTTCAGGGCTGTGCTGAGGATCCCCTCTGAGCAGGGACAGCACAAAGCCTTTTCCACGTGCCTCCCTCACCTGATCGTGGTCTCCCTGTTTGTCAGCACTGCCATATTTGCCTACCTGAAGCCTCCCTCCATCTCCTCCCCATCCCTTGATGTGGCCCTGTCAGTTCTGTACTCGGTGGTACCTCCAGCACTGAACCCCCTCATTTACAGCCTGAGGAACCAGGAGCTCAAGGATGCCCTGAGGAAAATGATGACTGGATGCTTTTCAGGAGCAATAAAGTGCCTGTTTTCTGGTGCATAGCATTCAGAGTGGGACTCCTTAATGGCCCAGCCTTCCTGCTCTGGTTTTTCGAGGAGGTCATGGGGTTTTCTTTGTAATAATTTTCTCTGCAATTAAATATTATTATGCATCTGTCTTCTAATTTAGTGTCTACACATTGAATTTGACCCAGACATGTATAAATGATGAACTATTCTATCTAAGTATTTCAACAAAATAAAGGACCCTGCAGTGCCTTCTTTGTCCAAGACCCTTCTTCTTAGACGTTCCTAAAGGACAGCACACTGCAGGACAGGGTGTATTTGCAAACGGGAAGGGGACAATAATCCCAGCCCAGCAGCACTGCCAGGGAGCAGCAGTGCTTGGTCTTTCCAGAACTGCTCTCTTGCCACTTCCACACTTTCCTCCTGAGCCCCTTTCTCGCTGTAAGGCCTGAGTGCTCTCTGAGCACAGTCCTGGGGGCTGGAAGCCTTTGGAGCACAGGCAGGGACAGGCCCTGGGAACTTGTGAAGCAGAGCTGGGCTCCCTTCCAGCATCTCCAGGATGCTGTGGGATCTTCTGAGGGCAGGGCATGTACTGGGTCACTTCTTCTGTGACCTTGCTGCAGGGCTGGAACTCTCCTGCAGTGTCACCATGACACTCTTGCTCTCTGCTTTTCAGGTTCCATTTTCAGATCCAGTCTTCCCCTCCTGTTCACAGGGACATCCTGTGAGTGCTTCAGAGCTGCCATCCTGGGGCAGCTCCTGCCCAGCGTGGGCAGGCACAAGGTCTCTCCACCTGCTCCTCTCCCCTCCCCAGTGCCACTGTTTTGTGCAGCCTCCTCATCCTTGCCCAGCACAGCCCTCCTGGCACAGTTGGACACAGCCCTTGTTCTACCCCCTCTTCAGGCACCTGCCCAACCCCCTCATCCACAGTCTGATGGCCAGAAACCTTCAGGGCAGGGAGGCACCGGGGAAATGCTGAGGAAACCTTTCAGCTGCACTCAAATCTAATTGGAGGGGTTGGACTCGAGGAAGAAATCCCTTCTCATTCTCCAGAACCACCAGAACAACCTGTGTTGTGTCCTGGGCACTCCTGTGGAAGTGTGGGCTATGGAAAAGGTTTTGGTGTCAGGGGTATTGAGAAGGCTGGGCAGTGTCACTGGGAGACCTCTCCCAAACCCTTGGAAAGGCCAGGGAAAGGCCAGAGCCAGCCCAGAGCTTCCTGGGGCCTTGGGAAAGGCAGACATGGAACCAGTCTGCAAACAGGGCAGCAAGGAGGGTTGGCAGAGTTCCAGACTGGTCAGGCTCAACAGGGAAGGGGATAGGGCAAGTCCTCCTGCAGCCATTGCCAGGCATGGGAAGGACAAGGCAGGGATTGCAGAACCCTTGTGGGAGGGAATAGAAGGGGATGTTGTGTGCCCAGACTTTATCAAGGCCCTTGACATGGTCTCCTGTGCTCTCCTTATGGCCAAACTGGTGAGAGCTGGACTGAAGAAGTTGGAGATGTGGTGGGTGGGAAGTTGGCTGAATGAAGAGGGTCAAATCAAATCCATGGTACAAAGTCCTTTTGGCAGCAACTTCCTGGTGAAATCTCTCAGTGACCAGCCCTTGAACACCACTGTAGAACATCTTTATTATCTCTCTGTACAATGGGACAAAATGTATTTTCAAGTCCTTTATGGATGATGCCAAATTTCAGGGAGCCCTTGAGCAACCTGTCCTGGTTTAAAGACACATATTGGGGTGGGAACTCCAATAAAATGTACTCACTCCCCTTTTATTCACCACCAGTACAGGGAGACAAAATACAAGGAGGTATAAATGAAAAAATACAAGTTTACTGACAAGAAATAGAGCAGCAAAAACAGCAATACCAACAAAACAGTTCAAAGCATCAGCAGAGAGAGAAATTGCGTCCTCTCTCTCCGCTTGCCCCAATTCACTTTTGTAAAGAGATGAAAACAGGGATCAACACGTGCTTCCCTTCCCCCTTTTCCTCCTGAATGAACAAAGAACAAAAACCAAAACCATGGAAAAGAGGGGGCAAAGCAAAATCTGGGAAATTCTCTGGTCTGAGATCAGTTGTGCTGCCCAAGAACACGCTGACTCCAGAGGTGTCCAAGCGGGGCAGAGCCGGCGACTCCGGTCCGTGCGGCGGCGGGGGGGAGGCAGCGGCTCTGCTTGATTCCATGGAGTTCTGGGGAGGCACAGTGGCCCCTTGGTTCCAGGAGGGTCTGAGATGTCCCAGGATTCCTTTTGTTCCAAAGAGACCATGCATGTCACAATGGTCCCTTGGTTCCATGAGATTCCACAGTGTCCCTGCATTCCTTTGGTTCCATGAGGCCCTGCAGTGTCACGGTGCCACTTGATTCCGTGACATTACAAAGAATCAGAATGGCCCCTTGATTTAAGGCCAACTGCACATGGGGCTGCCTTGGGGGGAGTGTGGGCACCCAGACAAGGGAGTTGTCACCCCCCTGGACTCAGCCCTGGGGTCACCACATCTGGACTGGTCTGTCTGTCTGTGAGGTTCCCCATTCTGGAGCAATGAGGAATAACTGGAGAGGGTCTAGAGGAGATCTGACAGGATGGAGCTTTTCTCTGTATTGGAAATAGAATGAAATCTCCACAAAGAGTAGCATGGAAGGTGCAGATTGAAGGTGAGGAAAAAGAAATGTCACTCAGCGGGGACCCTTGTGCTACAAGAGGTCACCCAGAGGGAGTCAGGATCAGTCCATGGCTTTGTGTTCCAGGGAACAGCCAGAGCTGGTGCAGAGACATCAGGGAGGGTCTAGAAATGCTGCTGGGAGGGGGTGGGAAAGCAGGAGGGGTGTGTGCAGCCTGCAAGGCCAGAGCAGCAGCAGGGCCAGGGCAGGACAGCCTGCAGGAGAGATGGCCAAGGGCTCTGGCAGGGCTGCAAGGCCCAAAGGCACCCAGGCCTTTGTCCCCTTGCCTCTGGCAGCTGCCTCTGCCACTCAGGCCACCACAAGACACTTGCCTGGCAGGTTCTGCACTTGGTTTCTGCCTCGCCCCTCCCTCAGGAGCCTGGCAGGGGTTGCCCAGGTTTGGGCCTTTGTTGTTCCTCCCCCTCCCATCCCAGTGCCCCCCAAACAGCCCTGAGCCAGCCGGGAGGGACAGGATCTGCTGGGCCAGGGCCTGGGGCTCAGGCCTTGGCCTTTGTGCTCCACAAACCAAGGCAGGCTTTGCTCAGCATTGCAGGGGCCTGCCCAGAGCCTTTGTCTGCCTGCACTCCTGGCCTCCAAGGAGCTGCTCCAAGGAGTCCCTGGGGAGGCTTTGGCAGTGCCTGCCCTCAGTGGGGCCCAGCAATGCTTCAAGGCACTTGCAGTTTGGCTTCTGACTTCTTCAGCAGCTGCTTCAATCTTCTCTCAGTACCTCAGGACCATGGGCTGGGTTGCAAACACACCGTGGGGCTCATTAAAATGCAGAAATCCCTCTGGATCTCTTTGTCTTCCTTTAATTGTCTTCAAAGCAGTTTCAAAACAAGTCTTTAAAGTTTGTCCTTTTTTTGTTTTAATTCAATGATGGCTATTTTTTAGTTCAGAGAAGAGGTGATAGAAGTGTTCTCCAAGTGATCTTGATGCTGAGTGTCTCCTCAGGAGATCCACACTGACCCTGGATGATCAGCCTTGCTCCTCACCCCCCAACCTCACCAGTTCTGACATGGCCCATCTTGGACTGACAGCTGATGCAACTCCAAACACACTGTGGGACCCAATAAAACACTGAGAAACAAATTATTTCCTTCCTTTAATTGTCTTCAAGTCTTCAAGAGTTCTACAGCTAATTGGAGTTGTTTTGTAGTTTAGCTAAGGAGGACGATTTTAAAGTGGAAGTCATAAAAAAATATATATTTTTATGAAAGGGAATGATTTACACAGAGCCTTGGGAATGCAAGAGGGTCAGGGTGCAAAGGATTTTTAATCCAAAGACAAGAGGGTAAAAGACATTAGTAGCTTTTAATTATTGACCCGTTTAACAGTTATCAGGTGATTCAATAGCAGTTGCTATAATTTTAACATTGACTGAATTATGGATTCAAAACTACAACATTCCCACCACAGTCAATTCACACCCACACCCAGGCAGAGATGTGTGGACACATCAAGAGCTGGGTGTGGGTAGGTCCCTCTCCCAAATTCTCCTTGTTGTCAGGGAAACACTCCCCCAAATCCCTTTGTGTTTCCCAGCAGACAAGGGTCACAGCTGGAGGAGTGTTTGTTGAGGGGGATCAGAATTGTCCTGGGCATCAGGGAGGGTCTTTGGAGTGTTGCAAACTGGAGGGTTCCCGAGCTGGGAGAGGCTGCCAGAGGTGTCCCACTGAGAGGGAGGTGCTGGGGAGCTGCCAGGGCCTCCCTCAGCCCCGCTGGTTGTGGGCTCCCAAGGTGACTGGCTTTAGTTATCTGCTGAATTTCCCTCCTGGTGTCAGGAATGACTGGAGTTTCCAAACTATTTGGGAATTGCATCCAAACTGTTCCATTTGGGTTATGATTCAGGCAGGGAATGTTCCAAAGTTTTCAGGGGATGACTGATTATCCTGTGTTCCCCAGCTCTTACACCCATCCCAGTCAGCTGGATGGTTCATTGACAATGTGTCCCGAGGGGCGGCACCTCCGATGCCATAGAAACCCCTCCCCTGGATTAGGAAACCTTTGGAATTCAGGAGGTGTCCCAGTGGAGCATGAAAATGAACAGCAGTTTTCCCAAAGCCCAGCCCCAAGCAGAACAAAGCCAGGCCCCATCAGTGTCAGAGCAAAGGTCCCCCATGGCTGTGTCCCTGTGGCCGCTGAGGCGGCAGCGCAGGCCCGAGGCGGTGCCGGGTCCCGGTGCAGCCGGGGCAGAGCGGCGGCTGCGCGAGCGGCAACCCCGGCGGTGAGTGCCGGCAGCCGTGGGAGCGGCGGCTCCGGGCACAGACCGCCGGCGGCAGCCGCTGTGGCTCCTGGAACCCAGTGGCCATTGGGACACTGCAGGGCCTGCTGGAATCCAGGGGCCGCTGGGACACTGGGGAGCCTCTTGGAGCCA